CCAGGGACGCCACGCGTGCTGTAGACAACATATGACGTTCAGACGCCAAGACTCAGAGTATACTGAACAAAGGTGACTCTTGGTTTCATCTTGACAACTCTGATGGTCTACATCTGGACAACTCTGATGGTCTACAACTGGACAACTCTGGTGGTCTATAACTGGACAATTTTGATGGTCTATAACTGGACAACTCTGATGGTCTACATCTGGACAACTCTGGTGGTCTACATCTGGACAACTCTAATGATCTACTTACTCTAATAGCCTTCATCTCGAGAAATATGATGGTCTACAGTTGGATAACTCTTTGCAGAGCCCTTATATCTCTATACATATTTCATTTCTCTTCTGTCCACCGGTCAAGTTGATCAATGATACAAGTAGTACTTGCTTAAACATCAGATTTTGTCTTTTGGGACTTCCTTTTCCTTTACTGTGTTTCTTACCTGGACGCATTAGCCTGAATTTCTAATAGATAGAGATCGATCTTAGACGATTTCTGTCCAAATACTTCAAATGAAGATGCGACGCTTACCCATTTGGACAACTCTGATGGTCTACTACTGGATAACTATGATGGTCTTAATCTGGACAAATCTGATGGTCTACATCTGGAAAACTCTACAGTTTGATGATCTGATCACCTGGACAACTCTAGTTCGATGGTCTATGCATGTAAGAAAGGCTTTAGCGAACCCTGCGTTACTGAACATCGTCAGCTGGTTGTTACAAGTGTAATGGTATGAGATGGCATCACAACTCAGGACTTCTCATGTTAACGGAAATTTGAAGGGCGTTCGCCAGTACGACATATCAGGCTGTACCCAACCTCTCTCAATGAATCGTATGTACAATCAACAGGACCAGAACCTCCCAAGTGTATGGTTATTGTACTTGAACTTAGACATATCTTTTACTATGGTATTTGGATTATTGGAAAAGTATAAAACACATTCATCTTTAAATGTGTGTATTTTTGTCCTGAGGGTCTGCTTTCAGTATGTACACGGAGTTTAAATATTCTTTTTGAAACTTATATTTCAGTCGTAGTTATGTTGTGTCAAAGTAATTTTACCTCTGAGTTTTCCACAACAGGAAATGAACTAGTGCTTTGTGGATCTGTCTTCCTCAAATGGGTACAATTTCTACAGCGTTTAAAAAACCCGCCTGCCTTCATGCTCGTGGCTACCAAATCTACCGCGAGGACAGTAGGTTGTATGGATCCTCATGGCCAGCATTAAATTTACGTGTCCATATTTGTGTCACAATAAACCACTGTTTTCTTAAATGGTGGCCTGATAAGCCTAGTCAGAGACTACAGCTATTGTGAGTCTGATGGCACTGTGCCATACAATGTCACTTCAGTCAGTTGTAGAATAGTAACACGAATTTAATGTAGGGTAAATCTGTATTATTTAAATGTAAATCCACATCAATGACGCCTGCACAACTTGTTCTCAATATAATAACAACATAAATGTTCAGTTAGTAGGTTGGTGGAAGGATGCTTAAACAATATTCCAGTCACACCAAAGTATGCCATCTTAATGTGGAGGGAAAGCCCAAAGTAATGTAATGGTTCGAATTAACTACTTTAGTAAAACCCTGAACACGAATCTAGAAACATCAGGGTGAATCGGGAATCAAACGAATGGTCACATGTATCTGGCATGCAACTGTGTACAACGAATTGCTGCACCTTTAACCACTGGGCCACACATCCCTAAAACATCTTTGTGAAACACACAGATGCAAGATATGGGTTCCCATTCGATATCTTTAAAGGTATGTATTGATGACACGCATATTCTAATTTCAGTTTCACAAGCAACATCTGCTCAGCAATCCCTAAAAGCTGTTTCTCTGAGAGTCATCACACTTGACATATACAAACAGTGAACAGAACACTTTGATATATGAATTTATTTTAGAATGGTAACAATGAACTTGTAGACATAGAAAACAGTAGAGTACAGAGCACTGCAGTATCAAATACTGAAAGTGACACATCTTGTACGTTTGTGTGAAATCTGCAGCACCAAGGGAGTGTATCTTTAATGCTGCTGTCAGCAATATTCCCGCTATCTCACAGTGTAGAGACAGAACGGACCAGACAAACCATTGATTAATATCATGAGCAATAACCCAAGCAGATCAAGGAAATACAACCAACGGCTGACCAGCTCATCCACACCACATACAACAGAAGACACTCAGAATATTTCCTAAATTAAAGTATAATGTACACTTTCTTCCCCAAAACTGACAACTTATGAATTTTAAATATGCAGACAGTAAGCTATTGTTTCTCACCAAATACCAAATAATACTGCAGCTGAAATGTCAAAATGTACCATTGGTAACAAAGAGTTCAATGCTTTTCTGGATCTAAGATTTTAGTCCCTTTCATTGATATCACTTAAAATTGTCTTTACATTTAGTGCGAGGTAATTTGTGAACATATATATATATATTCTTTCTGGGCAATGACCAAATTTGTACCATGACCAGAAGGTCTAGACATCACGAAACAGGATTTCTTCTGTCTGGACAAACAGGGCCTCTTTTGTTTCATTAGGAATGCCACACCTATTTAGCAAGTCATCTGCGCCTCTTCTTAATCTAAAGCAAAGTTTTATCTTATGTTGTGCGTCACTGGTTTCTGCTGCACATAAATCCTTCAAGTCTTCACTTGCCGGAGCAGAAAGGAATTGGGAAGTTTATATGTCTGATTTTACTATTGTTTTTCATGCATTTGAGTATAAGAAAGATAATTTCAGGATTATTAAACAAATGTACAAATTTTGACACTTTCTTCAGACCAATAAATTTGACCTATGTGGCATGATATACATTAATATACACTACTTAGATCCAAGAAAACTATAGTAAAACAGATACAAACTGGATGACCTTTAACATATTTGAATACACCATGCCATTTAGAAAGTGGTCAAATGTAACATATGTTATATTTCCTGCGCTGCGGTGGCTGAGCGGGTTAGACAGCTGACTTTGTGTGCTGGCGATTAGGTGCCTGACTCTGATGGTGTGGGTTTGAATCCCAGTAGGGACTCAACCCAACAAAGGTACTAGAATCTGTACTTTACTAAAAAGTGTAATCCACATATAACATATATGTTCCTGCAAAGTACATATAAATAAAGTACATATCAGTCAAATCAGTAGATTAACATTGGATGCTTTGTTTTCCTGAACTGACAAAACACATGGTATAAATATACAGATGGACAGACAAGTTTTCATATCTGAACAGTGTCTCTCTTAATGAACTATCCCCATGCCATTAGATAGAAATACATATCAAGCAGTATAATCACAACCATAGCAACCTTTTTTTGCTTTATTTTTATTTTTGTGTGTGTGTAACTTGCGGTTTGACGCTGCACCTTGCAACAATCCAGCTACATGAGAACGGTCAGTAAATATGATGAATGTACAGACCTGATTATATACTGACTGCCATCTTAAAATTGGAATATTACTGAACTTCACACAACCCATGTGGGGAATCAAACCCACACCTTCAGCATAACAATCCAATACTTTCACCACTGGGCTACCCAACCACCCATTCAAGCAAGCTGTATGCTAGTTACATCACTGTACATATCAATTATGTATAAACTATGAAATTTGGGGATCACTTCTCACAACATTTGAACAGAACTAAAAACAAAGCGTCAATGAATGCATCCATGGTGTTTGTCATAAGATAATAAAGACAATTCAGGCCACAACTGAGGGAAGTCTGTAACCTCCATGACACAGCTTGTTGCTATGTAACTATGGCAACCAATGGCATAGTTTAAAAATACAAAAGGCACAGAGATTGTAGAGATTTAACAAACAAGAAAAAGCATAAAAATACCAAATGCATGTCTGTTGACATGCTTATGTTAGAACCAACAGAAACCAGAGTATAGTGTCAGGATGATGATGATGATACTTCATTGGAATCTCAGTCACCATTCTCCTGGGAAGGAGAAGCAATCATGTGAAGATGATTTCAAAGGATCAATGCATTCCTTTCAACACAAAACAGACTTTCAAATACTTCCATGCGCTCCGTTGCCTATATGTACATTGAGCTATCAATCAACACAAACATCCCAAAACAAGGTAACAAAGAAAATGAGCATGGTGGTAATTTGGTGAAGAGGTACAAAGATACCATTTTACAGAGTTATCGGAGTGTTTGAATGGTTTGATAATATCCTTTATACTTTGTGTCCAAGAACATCACTACAAAGAGATGGTCTTCTCATTAAATAAAAGGATATTGAACTGATTTTGCTTGTCCATTGCTAATTAGATCTGAAATGGTTGGAAGTTGCTGAGAAAGGCCTTGACAAGGTCTTGTGTGGTATCCACTCTGCTGACAACTGAGAAACAGAGTATGCTTGAAGTGTAATGCCTTGATACAGACAACAAAAGTGCTTTTAAAATCTGTGGTGGGGGAATTGTACTACGTAGGGTTAGAGGACAAATCAGAGACACAGGGTTATGTTGAATCCTATATTGTTGGGATAACACTATTCCCCTAAATACTTGTAACATTGTGAAAAGGTAACATAATTCAAAATAAGCATTACAAAATATTCTACTCAGTTGAATATGTTTATCATGAGAATGACTGCTTTGAGTAAGACCTTGTTGAAGGTTAAATGTATACAGTGACTGAAGATACAATGCAGACATCCTTGACGGCATAATGAGATAATGTGTTGATAGGAAACTCTACCACATAACCACAGTTATGAAATAAAAGACATATCAAAATATGATAGAAAAGTTATGAAAATACAAAGACACCCGATCGTCAGTATGATCGAGAAAATAGCAACAAGCACTGAAAATAATTTAACATTTCACTGAGAACAACCACATAGGAAAGGCCAATAGGTCTATGAAAACATAGAAGTATTGTAATGCGATAAATAAGTAGACATCTGACAGTCCACTAGGAAGTGTAATGCTGATGGAACTTATCTGTTGTCAAGGCAGCCTGTGTGATCATCCAACTTGCCACTGTAAAAACAGAAAATGCAAACAATCAGTTGAATCTAGTTTTTAACAAACTTATACAAGTTAGCTGATACAATGTCACTATAACCAGACCTTCAACCCCTGACTGTTTCAAACTCTGAGAAAGTGCTGTTCAACTCTGTGGCTGTATTTCTTGCAGTCCAGCTATATGACATTCTACAGTGGTGGTGTATGGTAACTATGGTGTCAAGTTATATTTTCAGCTACATTTGCAAATCCAATCCAGGCAATTTTACTCAAAGGTAAGAGCCTTAATATTTTCACATTTCATATAAGTATATTTTAAGTTTTACATGAAGTACATCTTTTTGTTTTTCCTTCAATCGCCAAATAACATTTTGCTAATGTATGTCTACTATTGCGTACTTATTCTCTCCATTTCATAACCCTGCACTGATACAGTTTTACAGATGTCCTTTCATCCAACAGATGGATAATTGTGTAACAGCTTAACTTCAGCACTGAAAACAGCACAGTTCATACATTGAAAGAGTTCTATGGATCATCATGCAACATTAAAATCATATATTTTCGAGCCAGTGGTTACCTGAAAGGCAACATACATTTTGCTTTTTAAAAAATAAATCATTGTTTTGTAATAGTTTTGGTCTTCCTATTTTGTTTCACTGCGATCCTTTCCTTCATCTACACTGCGATCCTTTCCTTCATCTACACTGCGATCCTTTCCTTTACACTGCGATCCTTTCCTTCAGCTACACTGCGATCCTTTCCTTCATCTACACTGCGATCCTTTCCTTCATCTACACTGCGATCCTTTCCTTCATCTACACTGTTCACTATGTTCTCTTTACACATGCTGTAACATGTTTGCCACAATATGATACTTCATACAACATATATCATATATAATTACCGGTACTCACAAAGCTCATATTTACTATAACAATGTCAGAACTATTGCTCTCAGATTGTGGGTTTGGGCTCCATCTGGTCCAATTTAAAAACCAACAAAAAAGCATCCCCAAACATAATTAATTTAATAATTTTCTCGACTCCCAGATAGTGTGAGCAACTGTATCTACCCTCATGGCATTATCTCCTCCTCCCTGTATCTCCGCCTTCTTCTCGATCTCCTCCCTTCTCTGCTGCTTCCTCTTCAAACCCTCAACATCCTTCACCCCTCTCGACTTCGTTGTCCCGCTGTCGCTAAACTGCACTGCCTCAGCCTGCTGTTGTCGTCTAGTTTCCTGCATTATTGTGAAAGAGACAGGCCATATATTCTGGGGTGGATGGGAGGGTGGGGCTTCAGAGGGTCACAAAAAATAATGCAGCAAAAGAAGAGAGGGGATGCCAATATTTCTCACAACTACATGCATGAAAAAGTAACTAAATTCTATTTCTTGGAGTCATAAAGGTGCCACATTTTGCTGTGGAGAGCCCCTGAGCATGCCAGGCACTTCTGATCAGATGTTCAATTCCCAGTTCTCCACAGTATTGTCTAGGCTCTTGAGTACTCTTGTTGAACACTGCATGGCCCTAAAGTAACAGGGTGAGTACTCTTGTTGACCACTGCATGGCACTAAAGTAACAGGGTGAGTACTCTTTTTGACCACGGCATGGCCCTAAAGTAACAGGGTGAGTATTCTTGTTGACCACTGCATGGCCCTAAAGTAACAGGGTGAGTACTCTTGTTGACCACTGCATGGCCCTAAAGTAACAGGGTGAGTACTCTTGTTGATCCCTTCATGGCTCTAAAGTAACAGGGTGAGTACTCTAATATCTGTAGTACCCAATATAACAATCACCACTCCAGCACATATAAAGCACAAGATGATGCTGGAGAAAACATCATCAACATGATTTCCAGATGTATTCTTTTTTCTTTGTATACATCATCTTTTCCATTACATACACATACACAGAGCAACAGATAACTTTTTAGGTCATTGAGTTATGTACTCGCTTGTGTTCATCTCAATTGGGTATCCTAATTTTCCTTTGAGTAACCAAATAAATTGTACTCAACTCACTTGGGTATTCTGCGATCTTCTATTAATTTTAAAAATAGGATAAAGTTTAAATGTTAGTGTTTGTAATTTATATTTGATCTGTAGTATCAGAAATGATAAGAAAGACTGCAAGTTGCCAAATTCGTGTGCTGAAATAGAACCTCTCAATATACCTCAGTTATTTTATCTATCCACCGGTACGCAACCTAAGAGTTGACACTTTTGTGTGTACGCATGTAAGATCACATTTATTGAGTATTTACAAAAATTCAAGCGTACTTGTACGCAATAGACTTAATAGTAATTGAGTTTTCACATACATTTTTGCGTAATTTACGCAGATACTCAGCTTATCTGTACCTCTGCATACATGATTTTTTTTTCTCATGTATACCGGTATATGATGCATATTAGAAGCAGTACTGTCACATGAGACTCCATGCTGTACAAGTGGGCCATGGGAAGCTGAATATGTCACTATACTACAGTCTATCAGGTGCTTAACATGTGCTGGAGATGAGACAGTAACCATGTAACAGCACGCCACTAGTTGGTTGTGACATCTATAGAAAATATACAGTGTATGCATCTCAGTTGGCATACATCCCCAACAGCTAATTTCAGGTATTTTAGATTTGGAAAAAGTGTCAGTATTTGGGCAGTTGTGTCCTGATCCTTTACTGCCATTTATGTACAAACAATGAATACAATTTTCACTTTTAAACAACATTTGGTCTATTTTTATATACCATAACACAAGAATGCAGGGGCAACTTAACTGACAATTTCTGCATGTCAGAAATGAGTGCTAGTGTAAATATCCTCGCATAGTTGTACCTTATTTTCGAACAGTTAAGATAACATTGCTGATATATCTGGGGATTAGTGAAAGTTACATTTGTGTTCATATCGATAGCTGATGTGTTCAACAATAGAATTCAGAAAATACATTGATAGGTAAAAAGTCATTTATAATAGCCTTCAGTGCCTCTTTTGTAAAGTAATGCCATACTCTAGTGTCATCCCCAGTTTTCTAACACCTGAATGATTGGTACTTCAGCATGGTTTCCATATCAGATAATATTCCTGCTGGTCACAATAACAACTCCAAAAGTAATACAAAATGTTAAACCTATTCACAGAAATAGAGGAACGTTTGTCAAATTAATATACATTTCAGAGTATTTTACAGAACACTCTATTTTAGTGAACACCTTAACTGACACAAACATTCTCCATGATATTGATAACCAGTAACCTACTGTTATGAAAGGTGTCAAGTACATTGTCACGTGGACAGCTTCGCTGACGCCACCACCACTCTTCAGACGAGTAGTGTCTACTAGCAGGGATATATAATTGTTGATATATAATTGTTAATTGTTGATTTTCATGTATCTTGTAAATTCCGCATACCGTGCCGAAACGTGTTAGGTGCGCGAATATTGATTACGCGAGGTTACTGTCTCATCACCAAGCCAAATTGACGGTGGCATTATTTTCATGTTAGGATTTTAAAACACATATGTATTGTTCTCAGTCTGATATGTTTAATCTTTTGTTATTCCCGACTTGCCCTGTATTTAATTCACTGAGCACCGATCTACATGAGACGCCCGACACCAGTCTGGATCTGGTAAGGCATGGTGCTCGAAATATGGACAATCGGCCATTGCAATCACTTATAGACATAGCAAAGGCTACTGTGATAACTCGACGATGTGCTCACGGGATCGGGCTGGTCGTAATCCTCCACGGAACTACCCAGACATGGCAGACACATCCCCATTGTCTCTCCTATCCGCACAGACGCGGTTCACACCAGTAACTTTACTTTCTTAAGCGATGTATTTTCCAGCAGGAATCTACTTCCGGTACAGGTTGTAAACATCCGGTTTTGAACAGGGAGGTAACCAACGCGTGTATGTCTGTACACACGCACTCTCGCAAGCAATCAATGTTGTAGGGTATAGTTTCTCTTCAGTTTTTAAAAGCAAAATTCCAGGATTACCGGGGCGAAGGAAAACAGAAATATGGTTCATTTCATTTAGTGTGTCCCGTTCTTTGATCGTTTCTGGAATTATTTACTACTGTATGATGAGAAAACAATTCATTTTAAAACGATATTATTTTGACTGTAAATGTGTTTTTGCAACATTTTTCCAAAACATAATGATACCTAAATGTGATCAGACCAGTGTGTGTGTGTGTGTTTAATTGATTTTGCACATGACATGCAGGGGGTCATTTACTCTATACAAATTGTACATGCTTCTCCATAAAAGTCATCATCACTCCCCTAGTCATAAATTATGAACGCCCGCTTAGTTTTGGGTAAACCTACCAAAAGCCCTTCAAGAATACCTTAGCTTCGACCAATCCCAGTGAACTATAAAACACACCAGTACAGATAAATATACTGTTTGAACGATTTTATACGTTATACATACCATACTTCCGTCACTTCTCATGGACAATTCCCCCCACTCGGACAGTACCGGACAATGAAAAGAATTTCCTCAAATGGACGTCTCCCCGTGCTGAATATGCAAATTATATAAAACCAAAGGCAACATGTCGTATTATCAGAGTTTCATCTATGCGATTAAACACTGACGAAATCTAATATTTCTTTGGCATAGAATCCAGACTCGATTATTTACAGACTGCCGCCATATAACTTGAATATTGCTGAACTAAACTCACTCACTCACTTTGGCATAGAAAGGTCAGCTGTAGGGGTGGGTATTGCAAGGACTTTTCATATTGCGATAAATTGCGACGCGAAAGCATGTATTGCGATATGTATTGCAATATATTGCAAGAAGTTTTCTTTAACAAAAAATACGTATAATCGAGTTAATGCTTGATTTATAAAGTAGAAACACAACAAAATCACTATGCTTGATTAGGCGTTAATAAAAACTTTTAATCATGACAAAATAAAAATGTAAATAATATTTGGCACAAATGAAACAAGGAAAGGAACAATTTAAAAAACGGAAATATCCGAAGATTTCAGAGTGTTACGAAGTTTTCCGAATGCATGTCAAAATACCGGTTTTCGATCAGCGTATCGCAATACGTATCGTTTTCATGTCTGAACCGGTAAATACCGGTAAACCGGTTATATTGCGCAGCCTTAGTCAGCTGTGTACTACCTTTTGTCAGCCCCGGACTGAAGAAGTTCCCATATCGTCTTAGTGACTACAGTGAGGACTCGACTTTCATCTTTCTGTACATGTTCAGTATGGTGACTGTCACCTTCCAACTGCACTCCTCATACAGAGCCTCTGTCTCACTTGCAGTTTAGAATGCATCCATTAATTGTGTAGCATTTCTTTGATGTTTGTTTGTTTGATAAGGACAAAACTTTATGGATGAACAACTTCTTTATTCGGATGATGCGACGTTTCGATACAGATACTTGCTTGACAACGATACAATTATCTGTATCGAAACGTCGCATCATCCGAATAAAGAAGTTGTTCATCCATAAAGTTTTCTCCTTATCTGATTCCCCAACTTCTAAACATGCCACTTAAAGAAGTTTGTTGGTTTGTTTGTTTTTACAGAGATTACTGGGTGAATGTATTGATTCAGGTTGGAAACAAACGATAGGTGATAATGTATGATCTGTTTGGTGTGTAACGCGGCACTCGGCAATATTCCAGCTATATGACGTCGGTCTCTCTGGACCAGACAATCAAGTGATTGACATTATGACCATAGATTGGGATACGGTGACCTGCATCAATCCAGTGGAGCCTGACCGATCTCGTCAGTAAGCATATGTATGTTTGTGTGGGAATATGTACGTTTATGTATGGAATCCTGGAAGGGACATTGTCGCGATGTCGCGTGTGGCGTTTTGGTTTATTTTGCCTCATTTTATTTGTTTTTGAGAGGGCGACAATGCGACAACGCGACAATGTCCCTCCTCGGATTCCATATTTATGGGTGTGCAGGTTTGTTTTGTCGTTTGTTGTTGTGTGAATGTGTGTGTGTGCGTGCGTGCGTGTTCGGCGGAACTCTAGGTGTGTGAACTATTTGAATGACTAAATTAATGACACCAGATGTTCTCGATAGGTGTAGGCATGTCCTGCTCCAGTGGTAGCACCTGCCATTGACACTGTTTGCCTAAACATATAAGTATTTACAGCTCGATGCTACAGCAGTGTTTGTGCCATGTGGCGGCGACCTGTAAACCAGACAATCAAATGATCTATAGACCAAATATCAAATGACACGATAAGTGCATTTACTGATTTGTAGACACACTACCACAAATCTTAACGTAACATCAACATCAAAGCGTCACCGTCCTACAAACTGGCAAGTAATACATTCGCATTAACATCCCTTGCTAAACAAGATGTGTACTAAATGCACGATGTGGGACATTTCAGATATTTCGAGTTTTAAAAGAAATATAGATTTTGTATTTTTGTTTTTATATATTGTACTACATTAAGGTTCTGGTTTACATGGGGCGGTGGGGTAGCCTAATGGTTAAAGCGTTGGCTCGTCACGCCGAAGACCCGGGTTCGATTCCCCACATGGGCACAATGTGTGAAGCCCATTTCTGGTGTCCCCCGCCGTGATATTGCTGGAATATTGCTAAAAGCGGCGTATATCTAAACTCAGTCAGTCTGGTTTACATAAATGTTATGATATCAACGGCTGTCAATCACTGAACAAATAGGAGAATACCAATGTTATCGTATTACTCCATTCTTCTCAGCTATCTATTTCAGACCTCTAAATGTTTTACGAATGCCAAAGACTGGCTATGATCATTTGATCATTGGCATACTGCACTATGAGCTGTGAAAACACATGCGGAAAGATGCATATGATTTCCCTTATCTCCACAGGCTTAAACTATCACACAATGGTTAGACCTTACGTTGCTGCGTTGTTAAAGATATTAACCGTTGAGTCATTCAATCCACGACGTGCTGCTCAATGTAAGGTGCAACGTAATCATCTGAAATAGATGTGATATATACCCTCCCTCACCGATCACTATATCAGCTGTCGTGCTTATCAAGTGCATTCACCACTGCACACTACTGACACATATCAAGTTTTCAAGTGCATGTACATACGACAAATACGTCATTGTTTCACTGATTATAAGTTCATTTATTTCTGTCCGACATTGGAACATCAAAATATTATAATAGTTTTAATGATTGGTTCAACATACGATATATGTACATTTGCATTGCTATTTTCATAGCACGCCAACGCAGTTATTACTTGATTATTACAATTATTATGCAGTTGCAAAGTAATTATTGTAAACTCCTTTCATCGTTAATTTGATATCTCCTGCTATGTCAATATAACTGCTGTGTCATTATAAAAGAACACATTTTAAACTTACTTGATGTTATCGTTGTTATTTAAATTTGTTTTGCGATGGAATTTAAGTAACTTGATTAAAGTTTGATCTGAGTTCTTTGGACCAAAATTTAAATCATAAGAAACAGTTCATTTATATTATCTGCAAACAATAGAAGCCGGAAGGTGATATTGGTAACGTGCTACATTGATCACCAATGTGTTTGTGTAATAAGAATTTTATATAGAGATGAGGACATTTGAACGAAGACGTCCTTAAATATTTAACTTTCAGAAATATAAATGCATGTATAAACAGCACAAATATGTTTATAAATATAGACTTCAAAGAATATAATCTGAACTAAAAATCGCCTGACCCGTTACACGTTGATAAAACAATAAACATGGCTTTAAATGTAGCAACTGTGACGACGGTAGGAAGTAGAAATGTGAGTATTTCTCTACACTGCGCAACACATTTGATATAGATGTGCAACTTCTTTATTATTTACACACGATTATGAAGTTGCACATCTATATCAAATGTGCTGTAATACCCCACCAACTTCTAAATGCCCTTCAAACATCTGTACACTGTGTGTTTACAGGCAGCAGATCTCGGAAGAAAGTATTTTCTACTTTAAGGCTACAGTGATACAAATACGTTCACATTGAAGTGACAGATATGAAGAAACAAACTACTGTGGGCACAAAGACTCATATCAATACACACAACAACCCGTGGAGATCAGGGTGATGTCAATGGAGGCAAAACCAAGAAAACTGATTCACCTCCAAGGTAATAAATCATTCCAGAAACCAGCCATTCGCTTCTCTTTAGCTGGTGAACATATTGTTATTTATCATCCAACAGAAAAAAGGACATGCATGAACGACATGAAACAGGCCACTCCCTACTGAGCTCCCGGAGAGCAGAGGTGTGGTGTGCATGTGTATATTGCTATGTGTACACACAGTTTTATACCATGAAATGATTACACATTTAATGTTTAATATTTTTAAAATTACAACGTAGCACGTTGGACCGTCGTTTCAAATAATGGTAAGCGTTGTGTCTTACATTTTACACACCACAATATTAAATATAACAAACGTTTGTTAGACCAGTGCATACTGCATCTCGCCGCTAGTTCACACACTGGAAGCTAAACTGTTTCCCCATGTTAACGTGGCCTGTAACACATTCATACGTTCCAACTGACATTATGTAGAAATTGATATGGAAATGTGACCGAAAATTGAATAGAAGACATGAAGAAATACAAGCTTCCTTGTGAAATAATTAAGTAGATACATATTTACACCATTTTTAGTTAACTTCTTCGCTATTGTTAATGCGGCTCGCCGAGTAAAGCTGCAAACTTGATGCGGCTCAATGCAGTAATTCATTACCTCTTCGCTCGACAATAACGACAAGGCATTTTACCACTCATATACAATAAAAGTCGTATGTGTCTTTACAATCAAGCAAATGTAGTGTGTTTGTCCTAATTCCTATCTTCTGGGGTAAGCTTGATAGTCTCCCCATCCACTTCCACCTCGTCAATGTCGACCTTCATCAGATGGTTGAGCATGTGCTTGTCCACAAGGCGATCTCTGTACCTGGCGGGGATGTACAGAGTCAAGCGGTAACTGTTTGTTGCCTCGGCCCCCATCACCCGGATAGACTCGGAGGGAATGTTCAGACAACTGGCCAAGCTCTTTACAATCGTGTCAACTTCGTTTCTCTTAGTGAGAGTCTTCCGTACATGTAAATTGACCCTGGCATTACTTCCTGGAACATACATGTTGGTGGACTTGTAACAATGATACAATCTATCGATGTTTACATTATTTGTGCTTTGAACATAACTGCTTCAGGATAATCTAACGACAGGTTTCGAAAACAAACTAAGATGGGGTCATATTTGGTGTGTGGCTTGGGAAAAAGGACAAAGTGAGAACTTCAAATATATCTATTCAGATATTGACAGACCCATACCTATGTTATATTTTGACCTTTCACTCAAACATACTCACAAGCATGTATTTGTGTAAGATATAATTACTACTGTCAGTTCAAACAAACACACGCTCGGACGCAGCATACAGCATACCGTACGTACAAACGAACACATACACACAATGAGTTTCATCGCATATTCATGGTTGCGGATTTAATTGCCTTTTCAATAGTCTACATGTTCCCAGCTTATTGCCATATCTTTGCATTTAACATGGCTGCGGAACATTTTTCATATGTAGGCTTTTCAAACATAAAGTGTAGAGCGACGCTTTGACAAGCATTACCTTCATCAATTTTGGAAACTTCAAGATACAGCGCGTCGTCTGAATGGTTCCGGGCAAATTCTGAAACAATGTCACAGAGATCCTGTCTTTCAATTCGTGTGAGGACAGCTTGAAAAAAGGCCAGGTTAGCGAAGGAGATGAACTTCTTCTCACGGAGATGTCCGAAGAAATGTACTGGCTTGTCGAATTTGGTGATTTCATCTGCAGAACAGCCATGTTCCCCTGTGAACACATCAAAGATATTACATAACGGCATAAAACATTCTAGAGACTACATACCCGTGCAAAGGTAATTATAGACCTAATCAATGACACTAAAAAACTCATTGAAAAAACGCAACATCTATATATTTGTTCCCGATGTAGTATTGTATTACCCATGGCTACGCTTTACAATGTTCCAAGCATATCGACTGTGAAACGGGCAATATCATGACACACAGTGAACGAAGTTTTGGTTTGGTAGTTGTTCAACGCCGCTCTCAGCAATATTCCAGCTAAGTGGCGGCTGTCTGTAAATAATCGAGTCAGACAATCAACAGCATGAACATCGATCTATGCAACTGGTATACGTTGATATGTGTCAATCAAGTCAGTGAGACATTTCCTTTGGGATTAAAGACACAACGTCACACATTTTCGACAATATTTTTGCCTATATTATATATATTGGGACATATGCACTCACTTTAATAGCTTCCTATTGATGCAATAAAAGACTTATTATCCCTTACGACTTGCCTGAAATCGATAATTTAAACTTCGAGGCGAACAGCTTCCAAACAGAGAACACTTGCCATACATGGAACACTTGCCCCAAGGAACATAACTCTTTGGGGTTCGCTTTTAATAATATTCGCCGGGAGAGAGCGCGAGTGTCGATTAATGCAACGTTACATTAATTCATTCGAACCTGTTAATTTATATTGTAATCTAAATACTTAATTCTTTTTTGGAATACATCATATTACGCCTCCCTGAGAGGTGATATAGTTAGAATTATTGAGAGAAATAGATTATTTGTTTTTAGAGAAGTGTGGTGTGATATAGTGCCTTTAAGTCTTGATGTCAATAATTGAAGCGTTGAAGACGAGGTGCAACCCATGTTCTTTGCGATGAGTATCGAGACCAGAGAACGCATTACATTATATACTAGAGACATTTATTGTGCTTCATTTAAAGTGGTATCGGTCTTACATTACTGAACATAATATTTTGTTCACTTGATGAATACTCTATTATGGGTCATTGACAAAACAAACACCTGGTAATAGGAGACCGAGCGACACTGTCTTCCTTACGCGCAACTTCTTGTTGGAACCTATTGTTTGCTGCTTACCCACGGTGTAAGCGTTATTTTTAGCAAGGAGTGGTATATTGTAAGCATTATTTGCGGAAAGGTTTCTTTTATTACCTACTGATAACAATCCAAACAGTGCACGAGTATCACGCGTCCAACAAACACGAAAACAACCAATTTCAGCGCCGTTCATTAACAGTGTGAATTGACGAAGAGATGTTTTCATTAATATGCATTGACTGATGCATCATTTAATTGTTCAACATTTATATGGAGTAGATGTAACTTTTCCACTATTGTATAAAAAACCTGGGTCGCCTTTATAAACATGATTTCTGATATTAAAGTGCACCGTGAATTCTTAGCTATGAGCTGCAAAGTATGCAACGCTGCGCTTACGGTTCAAATTTCAGTTTAGCGCAGTACCACCTAAACCTAGCTCCTATTGAAAACAGTTTTGTATCTCTCCTGAAAAGATAAAAAATACCATTAACAAAACAAGTGAGATACAATTTTATCTTACCAATGAGATATTGCTGTATACGAGTCAGCTGACTTGTGGTGATTTCTTCACCTGTTGTACAGATTTCATCAATAAGGTCCTGCAGTGGCATTTCCCTTGCCCATCGCAGCGCTCCACCTTCACGATCAGCCCCACCTTCTCGATCAGGCCAACCTTCTCGATCAGGCCAACCTTCTCGATCACCCCCACCTTCTCGATCAGCCCCACGTTCACGATCAGCCCCACCTTCACGATCAGCCCCACTTTCACGATCAGCCCCACCTTCACGATCAGCCCCACCTTCACGATCGCCCCCACCTTCACGAGCAGCCCCACCTTCTCGAGCAGCCATTTCCTTTGACAATGTCTGGAAAAAAACATATATTACATTGACACATACATCGACAGTGTTCACATCAGCACCTTCAGCGTTGTTGCGAAGATGGATAATGGATAAAACGTGGATTGATCACACCGTAGGGACGGGTTCGATTCCCTCACATGTATGAGCTGTTAATCCATTCCTACTGTCCACATTGTCAAGGTCGCTGGCATGACACCACAATCACTTACCCAAAAGTAGTTTTTCTCTTTTACCGTACAGTCGATCTCCTTCTACACAGGTACAACTACGTCTTAAACAAGCCGCCGTGGGGCTGAAATAATACCGACGCGATGTTAAATTCTGACTCACTAAGTCGTTCTGGCCACCCGCGTCACAACCACAGTTACAACTGTAACGGTAAGTTTTATGGTACATGTATATCCAGTTCTGATGTCATCCACGCTTTTGCATTGCATTGTTCCTGTACCCAACATCAGCGTAATTATAGTGACCCACCAATTCAAACGCCTCAAGATTAACTCAGTGTCACCTTGCTAATTAAGGGCAGTTAATCCTCTCACCCTTCAAAGAATGCCGACTTGTTACCCTTGTTTCATGTTAGGGCACGCAAGGCCACTCGGTAAAATGCACGTGTAAACATACTGACAGGTGCTCAGCTATCCGGATATTCGAGAAAAAAATGCATATGATTTAACATTTGGTATGTGAAAATGACCGTCCGGTTACGGAAACCGGATTTCTAGTTAAGTGAGTAGTTTTACAACATTGTGAATTCGTTTTAATGAATTTTCGTTTGGAAGACGAGTTTTACGGATATCTGAGGTTCGGATAAACGGGGCACGACTGTACTGTATCGACGATTAAAACGAAGTTGCGCAGCTACTAGCAACTATTTGAGACCTCGATTAGTTTTATAATACTAGATTAGTAGGATATTCTACAATAACAGTCGATTAGATCCAATGGAACACATTTCGTTTCACCTACATTTTCCCGCATGTGCAGAACTAATGGACTCTGTCAGATCTGGAGGAAAAGCAAGTGCTTCGCAGCACAGGGGTCGTATTGATATACAGATTACATTTTATAAAACAACAAACAAAACTAACATCTGGCAGTTTGATGTGTTCACTTTTATTTGCGAGTCGCTTGTTCACTCGAGCTCACAAGTTCACAGACAGGCAGGGGCCGTCTTGAAGGACCATGGTTATCCCACGTGTACTTTCCTTGAGGTCTTCGGACGGTGTAGTCACGGTAACAGTTCCTGTAGCCGGTGGCGTACTGGTCGTATCTGTGTGAGACGTCACCTTCCTCGACTTCCTTTGTACGACACTGTCCACTTTGGCCGTCAGTTGTTCAGAGGTTCTCTAAACATAATTCAAAACATTTTTGTGTAACTTTCAACTTTGATAAATGCAGTATGCCCTACTCCTTTAGTGAGCGAGTGAGATTAGTTTACGCCGCACTCAGCAATATTCCAGCTATATGGCGGCAGTCTGTAAATAATCGAGTCTGAACCAGACAATCCAGTGATCAACAGCATGAGCATCGACCGGCGCAATTGGGAACCGATGACATGTGTCAACCAAGCCAGCGAGTCTTACCACCCGATCCCGCTAGTCCTATAGAGCATAATAAAAAAGATTCATATAATATTAAGGTTAACAAACCATCTATAAAGTTAATTAATCGTGATACAAGTTTGACTCCTTGCTACGAATCAACTGTGCAGTCTACGTACGCACGTGATAATTTGAACTCCGTCGTGACGTCATCAGTAGAGGCGTAGTTAGTATTTTTAAAAGGTGTCAAACACGTACCTTATAACAACGGATAGCTGATGACTTGTGTCCAGTTCGTCAAGTCCGGCATCGTAAAGTCGAGTTGCTGTGGTCGCTCTAAGCGAATGGTTGGTATAGAAACCACTGAAGCCTGCAGCCTTGCAAAAACGGCTGATGGTTTGGGTGAGAGTGTGCACGCCAATTGGGACGTCAGCAAACCAGACATCTGTCTTAGCGTACCGAAGTGGTCGTAGATAAAACGCCTGGCAAGTACCATTACGTGGCCTGAAAGTGCAGACAAATTGTTTGCTAGTGGGTATACAATATTTGTTTAAATAAGGTCAAGGTCGCGACTGATTCCGCTGCACATAAGGGCAGTGCAAATATCAAAGCTGCATGCATGTATTTACCAAGCAATCGTGTGTTAATATTTATTTTATATTATATTTATGTAAACGTTCAATATCAGTTATCCATATATATTGCAAATGAATAGATCGCTAAAATTAACTGTAAGTGACATATTCATGATATCTTACCTTAGATTCAAGTACATTTCGTATAGACGAACCAAACATCTCTCTGGCCGCTCGTTGTTCTGAGACACCTTCACTACTTTACGTTCGCACTTCCGGTGTTTAAGGCTGCCCCTGTTGGTCTTGGACATGTCCTCGGTGTAAACTAGGAACTTGGACCCTTCATTCACGTTTTGCATTACCTTAAGTTGGGATGTTTCGCCTACCTGCAAAAACCGATGCTCGTCTCCTGCTCTGAGGGCAAAATTAAGGCCAATCAAATAGATTAGGGTGTCACTGAGCTGTTGCGGAGAATCGCTTCCTAAAAGAGATTTCGCCCACAAAATATCCTCTTCTTCCTCTGTTATGACTTTCGCCTGTCGCTTTGTGATTCCTATCCCCTGTCTAACCAATGCTTTCATTTTGGCATCTAGTATGTTTCTCAGGCCTTCGTAACGGTGCTCAGTAAAGTTTAACGGGATACCATTTCTCCGGATATAGTACTGTAAAGAAGTGAGAATCTCGTACAGAGAGTTCCCACGGTATTCTGTCCCAGTCTGCTTTCGAACCTCGGTAATAAATATCATTAAAGTTCGAGTCAGATCGGATTCATTTTTCGCCAAAGTCAAAAGGTCATGTTTTTTTGAGTTGGGGAATCGTTTTTGTCTTTCTTCACACCAAGAATTGAACAGACGCACTGCCCACAAACTCTTGTTTTCAGTTTTTGTCGAAAATGCAGACTTGCTTAGTGTCTGTAACTGACTACCCGACAATGGAGTTCCGAAACGAAACGTTTCAAGAGCATTGCTTCCTTTATCAGGTTCTTGTGCACGGGGGATTGAATTAATGGGGTCAGACTGCAACTTGTTTTCAATTTCTTGACTGGCTAGGGAAAAATTCAGTGTCAGATGAATTTTGACCCTCTCCCTAAAACAGAATTTTCGTTTTCAAATTCCTTCAAAGTAAACTCATCGATGTTTGATTTATCCAAATTGATTAAAGTCTCAAATTCATCATTTATTGCAAAATCACCAAGGGTAATGTTATACCGGTCTTTGGTCAAAACAGATCATCATCAGAATCCATTGTTTACGCTGACAGTGGTGACGAAAGGTAGTTTCCGTTGTGATTTTCCTTTTATACGTCACAAGCTGTAGATTAGTGCAGCACGAGTATTTATAACGGGTGCGTTTTTTTCAGAATGTTTTAAAACGTTTGAGATCAGTACGTGTTTTGGTGTCCAGTGTCACTGTACAATAGTTCCACACGTAAATGCAATGGTGACTTCGTTTTAAGTTGGAGAAAGTCCTCAATCCATCGATTAGTTTCGCTCGTGAAGCCCGTCCTCGGCCTAACGGCCTCGAACGAGCCTCACGAGCGAAACTAACCGACGGATTTCGGACTTTCTCCTACACGTATTAATACAGCTGTAGCCATGCGATAACACTATTTATTCTATCCTGCATACAGATATAATGCTGACGTACAGTGTGTGTACTTTGTACTGCTGTTTCTGTATCTTCTAGTTACTAACGCAAGCGATCATTTTATTGTAAGTGTAAATATGTACATGTAGTTGTAATTGATATTTTGATAGCGTGCTAGCGTGCTATTGATAGCATGGTAGCATGCTATTGTCCACCAAGAGATTATTGATTGTAGGTTCAATGTGAGCAGCGTACTGTGATGCAATCAATGAGATCTCTTAAAGTAACGGTGTCTTCGTCACATGCCTATCTACCTTCATTCATATTGCAAGCATGAGTAACTATAATGAAAAAAGATCACAGTTTGGTGTAACCTTAAGAATTCATTAAAAATGGTGCTATTTAACAATATTTACCGTATATCCCCCAAGGGTTAAAGATTCGAGACCTTACTTCAAATTCAAATCACTGCATTTTATAACATCAATTAACAGATGATATAAGATAATGCATATGTTTTATTGCCATTACTTCCCAAACCTAAGAGACTGAATGTCTGAATAACGTATAGACGTGTTCAACAGCACCAGTTATCATAGATGCACCGGGTGTATGACTTTTATTATTTTACAGAACTGACCCTAGATAATCTGATTATTTTCATGTGGAAACAGTGTATCTGTTTTAGCGTTTTCGAGTATTTTGTATGCATAATCTGTACTGGTCAGCACACTAGGTTATGGCAGAATAGGTTATGATTGAATAGTTTAGGTTATCGAATTGGATATCTTGAAACCAGAGAATCAAATGAAAATCTGTGTTCCTGGGGAACATGTCCAGCTACTTATGGAACCGCAAGGGTTCATGTCTGGTGTTCCTCGTTAGACCAGGGACTTACGAAACTGAAGGTGTTGATTACATGTGTTCGTTGTTAGAATCTCCGGTTACTTACAAAACAGAAGGTGATGATTACATGTGTTCGTTGTTAGAATCTCCAGCTACTTACGAAACAGAAGGTGATGATAACATGTGTTCGTTGTTAGAATCTCCAGCTACTTACAAAACAGAAGGTGTTGATTACATGTGTTCGTTGTTAGAATCTCCAGCTACTTACGAAACTGAAGGTGGTGATTACATGTGTTCGTTGTTAGAATCTCCAGCTACTTTCGAAACTGAAGGTGATGTTTACATGTGTTCGTTGTTAGAATCTCCAGCTACTTACGAAACTTAAGGTGGTGATTACATGTGTTCGTTGTTAGAATCTCCAGCTACTTACGAAACTGAAGGTGATAATAACATGTGTTCGTTGTTAGAATCTCCAGCTACTTACAAAACAGAAGGTGATGATTACATGTGTTCGTTGTTAGAATCTCCAGCTACTTACAAAACTGAAGGTGATGTTTACATGTGTTCGTTGTTAGAATATCCAGCTACTTACGAAACTGAAGGTGGTGATTACATGTGTTCGTTGTTAGAATCTCCAGCTACTTACAAAACTGAAGGTGATGATTACATGTGTTCGTTGTTGGAATCTCCAGCTACTTACGAAACTGAAGGTGATAATAACATGTGTTCGTTGTTAGAATCTCCAGCTACTTACGAAACTGAAGGTGATAATAACATGTGTTCGTTGTTAGAATCTCCAGCTACTTACAAAACAGAAGGTGATGATTACATGTGTTCGTTGTTAGAATCTCCAGCTACTTACAAACCTTGAATCTGTTATACCTCTGGATGATAGTAATGTTTTTACTTATTCCAACAAGTGTAAAACACAAAGAAGTTTGATTGACTACGTCTTCATAGACTGTGATCTCAGAAATAGGGTACTGGGTTATGCTGTTGACAATAACATAAGCTATGCTGTATCCGACCATTTTCCTATCCTCACTGTGTTTCGTAGTGAATCTCCTACATACAGCTATACTGGTGGTATACATCTAAATTGGCGAAAAGCCAATCAAGTAGATCTCTCATTGTATCGATATGAAACTGAAAACTATTTTAGAAATGTTGAATTCGAATGCTCCCAGTATACATCTCCAGAAGAATACATCGAAGCTCATTATGCATATGTAACCCAATCTCTCCATTCTGCAGCAAATATAAGTATCCCTTCCTCTCGTTACCAGGCAAACTTGAAACCATATTGGAAAAAAGATAATTTGAAAGATCTACATAATACAATGAGAAATTGTCGCAATGAATGGATCCGTAATGGTAAAATCCATGATAAAGAGAATAGTTACTACATTGCATATAAAGAAGCAAAACGTATTTTCCGAAAACGACATCGTCAATCAAAGAAACATGAGGATGATCTTAAATTCAAAAGAATTTATGAGGCTTCTGAACTAGGTATACAAAGAGTACTTTAAAGCTACCAAAATATACAAACGTAAAAAAGAATACACTCAAGTTCTCACTTACGAAAACACATCTTGTAATACTCAGGAAGGTATATGTGACCTATTTGCTAAATATTTCAGAGACCTATCTCAACCATGTACAGATGTTAATTTTGATTCAGATCTTACTGATTATGTAAATAACTTTGTATCTCAACTTGATAATACTCATGATGACTGTGATGATGTTTCTACACTGCTTCAGTGTCCTTTTACGTTTGATGAACTGTTATGCACTATTCGGCGACTTAAGAACGGCAAATCACCTGGACCTGATGGTATTGTTAATGAACACTTAAAGTACGCCGGTAGATCTGTTATTAATCACCTAGTAGCACTTTACAATGCTATTGTTCATTATGAATATCTACCTTGTGGTTTTAATGTTGGTACCATACTTCCCATACACAGGGAAAAGGTAAAAGCACATGCGACCCTTCAAATTACCGGGGAATAACTTTAACTCCTATTGTCAGCAAATTATTCGAAAGAGTCATCTTAGAAAGAATAGAAAATTGGTGTTGCCACAGTAAACCTTTCCCGCACAAGTATCAATTTGGATTCCGTAAAGGTGCTGGCGCTGAAACAGCTGCATTAACACTGTTAGAAAGTATAGCTTATTACAGGAAAAGAACTCACCAGTGTATTGTGTCTTTCTAGACAACGAGAAGGCCTTTGATAGAATATGGCTTAATGGATTATTTTATAAACTCCATCACTTTGGTATAAATGGTAAACTGTGGCGTATCTTACGTACTAAATATACTTCAATGCAGTCTTGTGTTAAAATAGGGGGAGTTGCATCTGCTCCATTTCCTGTAAAACAAGGTGTTGGTCAAGGATGTGTTTTGTCAGCTTGGTTATTTTCATTGTATATTAATGACCTATTATACGCACTAGAATCATTACAACACGGTTTAAGTCTTCCATGGGGTAATGTGCCAGGTATCTTATTAGCAGATGACACAACTATTGTAAGTGGAGCCATAGATGGCCTACAGTGTGCACTAAATGTGTGTTTTGAGTACTCTTGCAAATGGCATCTTAAATATAATGCCGACAAAAGTGTATTCTTATTGTTTGGTAATACCCAAAAACATACATGTCCATCATTTTACATTGGGGAGAAGATTGTAACTCAAAAAGATCTTGTTGTGTATGCTGGCTTGTACATAACCACTGCATCTTCAACTTTAGTGCGTACTCAAAATCATGTGATAAACTTAGAATGTTAGTCAACACAAATCGCTGCAATGGTTTGTTCTTTGGTGGTCTAAACCCCATGTCTGCTTGTGGAGTCTGGAACAGAGTTATGTTACCATGTGCCCTGTTTGCTTGTGAATTATGGTGTAAACTAACATCTAAAGAGTATGAAATACTTGAACGAGCTCAATCTTTCTTCTGTAAACACATCCAGGGGCTCTCTAAATGTTCTTCGACAGTTGTCGCACGAGACTGTTTAAATTTACTATCAGTCCAAGCATACATAGAAAAACGTTGTCTTATGTTCCTTGGCAAATTATGTAGAGGTAATTTAAACTTTGTATTCAAGAATGTCTTAAACTTTAAACTTAGTCAATTCTTACTTGACTCATGTTATGAAAGAAGAAGC